TGGGGGGGGGGGTGGCTGCCGGCCGGGCTGTGAGAGCCCCGCTGGCGCCTTTCTCCGTGTTGATGTGGCGACGTGTGGGCTTTGGAGTCAGATGAGCCAGGTTCGAATTCTGGCCCAGCCTCTCCCCAGAGCGGATTGGTACGCCTCTGTGCCTCCTCCACGTCTGTGAGTTGGGGAAGAGCCTTATGGGATCATGAGGGTTAAATGAATAATACGTGTCAGGAACCTTGCTGTGTCCCTGGCGAGCAGTAGCACTTAGAGAAGGAGCGGGCCGAGCGCACGAGCGGACGCACGGCGGGTGCCCTTGGCATGAGTGTGAGGGATGCGCGCACGTGCCGCCGGCCCGCCCGGGGCTCCGACAGCCACTTAATGAGGGGCGGGGAGTGTGTGCTGATGTCTGTGTTTTGTTTTTATTCCAAGGGTGTGACCGATGTGCTGTGTGAAGCTTGCGACCAGCTGGGATGGACGAAGCCCACCAAAATCCAGGTGGAAGCTATTCCTTTGGCCTTACAAGGTAGGTTGACGGTAAACAGGTGGCCGGGGACAGTCAGTGTGAACTTAAGAGTATCAGAGAACTGCTCCTTGCTGCTTCAAGTGAAATAAAAATATGCTCACTGACCACACACAGTTTTGGTGGCGTGTTGGTTTCTGTAAGAGTTCTTCTCCACTTTTACTTTCTTTTTTTTTCTTATAATATGATTTGTGAATCACTTATTCTGTGAAACTACATATTGTCACCTGTTACATTTTCTGTTGAGAGAGAGAGGAAAGCAGAGAGAGAGAGAGAGAGAGAGAGAGACAGAGAGAGAGACATCGACGGGGATCGAACCTACAGCGTGGGTATGTGCCCTGACGGGAATTGAACCCACAACCCTGAGGTGCCCTGGCTGACAGTCCAGCCGCCTGAGCCACCCTGGCCAGGGCTGAGCTGACTTTGTATCAGGAGCTTTAGTGTCTGCAGTGGATGCTGACCCAAGGAAGCACTGGATTAAAATGTACTAACACGAAACTTGTTAGAAATCATGACTCGCTTCTCTGCCTTTTGGCTAAGATCAAGTGCAATATCTGTTCTTAGTTTAACATCTGATGGGTCCTCTCTCCGAGGACATTATATGAAATGTATTTTTGGAATAGGGAGATGGAATCGGAGCTTGCTCCGTCCACTCCACTCATCGACTGGTATTGCAGTACCTCCGGGAACGGTGCACCAAACAAAACAAAACAAAAATAACAAAAAAAGAAATGAATAATAAGTGCAGATTTATACAAGGGTCCCTGGAACCTTTGTTAGTATCTGGGGGTGTTGAGAGCTCTTGCTGTAAGACATGGGTATCAGATTTGCAGAAGAGTGGCTGATGACTAGTGGGCCTGGAGCTAACTGGGTGAACTTTAATAGGAGAAGTGAAATCCTGTTCCTACATTCCCAAAACTCAACTTTAGAGGACTGGGGTGGGTGGAGAAAGACCCAGAAGTGTTAACTGAAATTCATTAAGATCCTCAGAGAAAGTGAGGTACATTACCATAGGAGAAGGGGGACTTTCTTG